TTGCTGCCTCACGTTTCATGCCCAAAATTTTCGAAAACATTGCATTGCCTGAGCCAACCGATATGCCGACATCCTCAACACCTTCTTTAATTTGTAGCTTTGTCTATAAGACCTAATGTTCTTTGGGCAATAAAGCATATTATTATTGATAATAATAGTGATTTGACGATTCTCCATAACAAGTTTCTCCATTTCCTCACCATTTTCATCGGTTGTGGATGTGCTGCGGTGTCCAAGGCGAGCGTGGTCATTTACATTTTCGTGACCTTCTGTGTAAAACTTGTACCACTTGTAAACGTTTTCCCGACTCAAGAGCACAATCACCATATGCCACTGTCAACATTTCAACAAAATAAACATGCTAAATACGTGGAACTGTGAACATATGTTATAGAGACGAGAGTAGCAACAAAAAAACATCGCGAATCGAATGTAGGTAGCCTGCGAAATTTGAACATGCGCCTTTTTTTTATCAGACCTCGTGAAAGACAATATTAATGTTTTTTGAAACAACATAAATATGTAAGAACAATTGACTAAACGAAAAAGTTATTGACAAAAAAACCGAGCAAAAAACTGTGTTTGAAAAGAATGATGATGACTATAATTATTGCTCTTTAATTATGTACCTACTCATTTAATCTCAGTAAATTAAGTGTACTACAGAATCATGAAGTGATTGTTACTTGTCTTCTACTTATGTAATAAAAGAGTAGACGCACTTTTAAAATCGAACGTCATTGGTCAATTTTGCATAATAAATCTTATAAAAACTATGCTTTGGTTTCAAAAAAATTCAAACGCAGGTGAGATGAATGTTGAGGGTGGGAAGAAGTCAAAGAAATTCCAAAAAAGCAATCAATAAATTTAATATAGGCTGATAAATTAGAAGAAAAAATTGTTGAATTAAACACAGGAAAAATATAAAAATTGTTTTGATTTTACACACTTTAAGAGCTTTCTGCTCTAGAATCAACTTCCAACAATCGATTTCTGCAAACAAAATTGAAAAACTGATTAACTTCTTCGGGAAAAAAAGTATTTTCGTGTGTATTACATATGTATTGAAATTTCTGCACCTAGGCTCTTAAGAAACACAAAATATATTCAATTTTCATTTAGTTTTAAGAGAATGATTGTTTTTAAATTCTGTGTTTATTAGGGTTTCCTCCTTATTCAATAAATATCTATCTACAATGCAAATTAACTATCACTCTATAAGATAACACTAAAACTAATCAACCTAAGAATAATATTGACATTCAAAGTTTCTCCGGTTATTTACCATTCCTTATAGAGGAAATAATGTCTTTCGTTCCGTAATTGCCTGACAAGATAACATGTAAAATTGAATGAATATCGATAGCTTATATTTTGTCTAATATCAGTATAACAAAATGGTAATGCCGTATTCAAAATAAAGATAATAAGAGTAAATATAAACATTCTTGTTAGCACTGTTAGCATTCTTGTTAGCAATCTGAATACCTGCGTCTAGGTTTGCTTTTTCTAGAACCGTAATGAAATACTGATTTTAAGGCCCTTACAACTTCAACATTGACATGCGAATGCAATGTGAAAAGTATCTTTAATGTTGAGCACTTAGTTAAAAAATGTTATATTTTATAAAGATAAATATGGTTTCCTAAGATATTTGATGGAATTGGTCGATACTTAATGAAAATCCATGACGTATTCAAGAAACACTTCATTGCGAGATTTTCACTAAATACTTTTACAAAAACGCAACACGTGTTTCGCCATACAATATCTTCTTCAGGCATGTCTTTACGTGTTGTATTCGTGAAACTGTTTATTAAAATTCTCACAATGAAATGTTTCTTGAATTATTTCCTAATTTCACTGGTTTTCTTCATAAATTGAACATGCACTTAACTTTAAAGTTTTTTAATTGGCAAATGTTTCATATTGACTTCATCACAGTGAGAATGAATAATAAATATATGTATCTGAAATTAGTAGGGGAATGTTACAATTATGAATATCAAAATCATTATTATTCCAGGACCTACTTCAGGACTTCCATCCGATTAGTATATTTATTGAATATTTCTGGATACAATTATTAGACATTATTATCGATGAGAACTCTCTTAATAGCACCACCGCCCCGACTTCTTACTATGCATAAATCGTTTGATTTCAGATACTCCCAAAAAGTTTCAAAATTTTTGATTTGTTATCATCCCTGCTGCAGAGAAACATACCCAAAAGAAGCTGTATTCATTAATTACTGAATAATTGAACAGAAAACGTGTTCAAATACCACTAAGAAAATAGAAATTCGTCAAAATGAAATGTAAAAGCTCTCACAAATCCCAATTATATAAAACAAATCGTTTGATCTCAGTCCGAGACTCAGATACCACCGATGAATTTCAAGATATTGATTTGTAGATATCTGTACTCCAGAGAATCGACCTCAAAAACGAATGATGCAAAGAGATAAGTCGGTGACCGCTGTGTGGAAAATTCCTTGGACATGTCTGAACCAAATGGAGAGTCACATTTCAGTAATTAATAGACAGCGATAAAACGATAAAACTGTAAACTATAGAGATGTTTATGTTGAAATTTCAAACCACTATCTGATTTACTGAGAAATGAAGAATAGCCTGATGTGTTTTATACCACAAAAGTGTGACAGTAATAAACAGTATCCATTATTACTTTCAGTAAATTTTGGAACGATAGTAATCCAAGCCTTTACTTTGGGACTGAACACATGTTGTTCATTATTTAACTCACAGAAAAATAAAAATCCCCGTATCTAAGGCATGTCACCTGATTACTCCAAGGGTCAAGTGATCAGTTGATTTATCATCTCGTTTCTCATACTATATTTTGAGATGATATTGTTGACCCCAATTCCAAAAAGAAATCTAGATAAGGGTGACTGTTAATTAGTTTTTTGCAGGTGTCGAATACTTGTTGTTTTCTTTCAATTTCATAAATAAAACAATTGGGAAATATACTGGCCTCAAAATAATTTCAAGTGGCTCTTCCATACTAAAAAGTGGATTCATTAAGGTTCACTGACGCTTTGAAAAGCAGAACTTTGAGAATGCATGAACATGAACTGTTTCGTCACAATCGATTCGCAAGAATGAGAGAGATGGATTATATTTGGTAAGACAAGTCTAAAATATTTTCGCAAATATGCACAGAGGCTGAAGTTATTGTATTTTTTCTCAGTGATCAAATCATCTCCAAGCCACTGATTATCATATTGGTTTTATTGATTTAAGACAAGATTTCACAATTCAAAAAAAAAATTAGATGACAGAATTACTTAGTCGTTATTTATTTTTCCTAGTAATCTCAATTTTATTATTGAGCCACAATAACCGCTCTCAGGTTACACTGGAATATGGAATAGATCCCTTACTTTGAACCTAACCTAACCTACAGTTTTACTAAGTCACAAGTTTTCATACTGATAGTTCAATACATTGTTCTTATCGAGGTTTATTTTCTTGAAAATAGTTACTCTAAGGACATTCTCAAGTATGGCAATACAGAACAAGATATCTACAGACATGTTGGTATGCGTAATGTGATATAATAGTACTTATAATTGAAAAAATATCGAGAGAAAACTTAAATTCCTTCGATAATATCATTTTATTTTTGAACACTCATAAAAAATTAATGAAATACAGAATTTTATAGTTCAAATTTGCCTTAAGTCGTTATCTCGAAAATAGGAATGAACTCACTAGATTATTTTCAATTAAATTTCATTAAAATATGGATATGTATGGAAGTGTATTCATTTAAAAACACTAAAGAAGTATTCAATCATATATTTTCCACGAAATTATTCAGTATCATATACTTGTTACAAAAGTGAACAACAATAAAAACTCACTTTTTTCTATTTTAGACAAATGAATGATTGATTAAATGCAAACGTTCAATATAGAGAAGTTTTATCTAATATGTCATTGTATTTACCAACTTATGGTGCACCTCGAAACTAAGATAGTGTTAAGAAAGAAAAAAAGAGATTAAAATCATGTTGTAATGTAATCAATCACAAGGTATTTTGAAATAAAGCAAATACCTGTGAATACATAGGTAGGTAGTCGGATTGAGCAGTATTTAGTACCTAGATCCAAGTGGAAGTCATCACATTTCAAAGTTTGTTTGTCTTGTAAGTTGAAAGAAGGTTGAATTGAGATAGCACTACGACAATAAGATCGATAAGAAAATATTGAAATTCCATGCAAGAATAAATGATGTATGGCAACATAAAACAAATGAAAAATTAAATTCCTTCGATAATATAAAAAATTATTCATAGTAGAGGCATAACTTGATAAGTTTCACTTTATATCTATTCAAAATTTAATCTTTTTAAAATTATGCAAATATCTAACTTTATATAAGTATTTACATCTGTAGGTAGTAGGATTAAGTGATATTCTGAATATTTATGCAGGTTCTGGATTGTTCGTTTGCCGAATATTTACAATTGGACATGAAATTGAAAACACACTTAAAGACTGATACACATTCAAGTGAAACTCATATCACATTTCAAGTGTTTTTTCTTGTAAGTTAAAAGAAGGTTAAATTGATTGATGACAGACGATCCAGACAAAGTTAACATCACATTTGAAGACATTATTGAATTTATAATATCCTTGCACAGTTTCAGTAATTTTAAAAACACAAATAAAAAGCCGTAAATACAAAAAACTTGGCAATCCTGTTTTTATCGTGACTTCCCGACCTACAAGACTCAACAATTTGTTTAGTACAACTCTGAATAGTCAAGAACCTGAATCACGTTTACTATTTCAAAAAATGTGATCAATAAAATGACCTGCGCAACATCCGTCAAGGTTTGCACCAGCCGTTATCCTTGCCACCGGTCAGGATTGGGGCAGGTCGCGCAAATCTCGCACAAGGATGCCCCAAAGGATAACCTAGCTATTTTATTGAAGTTTCCATTCTGAGAAAGTCTAACTCACCTTTCTGATTTCAGGGTTATTCCTCGGAAAATTTTGCTTTGCTCGTGACAATTTTTCTTCTTCACTTGAATGATTTTCACTGCACTAAAAACTGATTCGTTGAACTGGGATTGATGGTGTTACATATTTTTAGTTGATGTGTGTTCCACTTTGTGGTTTGGAAGGACGCGCCTCAATTCCACCACACTCTTGCCTGACTTACAGTTGTGAGAGAACTGCCTTGAAGTGAAGTTTAAAATCATGTTGTATGTGCCTGTTACCCCCACTCATGCGAGCACGTGGTCGACTTGAGGTCTGTCCTGGTCGAGCTCCGGCTCTAGATATTCTAGAGAAGCATCTGGTGATTTTGCGTCTCCGCGCCGAGGGGAAATCTCAGTCTGATCATTTTTAAGAATGTTCATGTGAACTATGCGTGATTTATATGTTTTGATACCTGATGTAAGAAAATCGTACATTACAAGATTATCATTTCGAATACAGGGTGATACAAGTAACAAAAATTTGACATGATTCTTCAAATTAACATACATTTTCATGTTTCCCGTCACCCATGACGCTATGAACTGGTCGCACCAATTCATATATATGAATGCATGGGAATGTTTACGAGTATACTGAATTTTAAATTTAGAGTCCGTTATTTACTATATTTATTAGTGTTTTGTTGGAACAGACCTGACGTTGTCAATTTTAGGTCGAAAGTGAAATGTTTATTTGCCTGCTTTTATGTTTGTTCTGAAAGCGATTGTTTAAAACAATAGTCCTTAAAGCTACTACGATAGGAATCGAGGTAATCATGGTCCTTTACTTCCAGTAATGAATCTGAGTAATTGTGCTTCTTGGTTGCTTCTACTAATAAGTATAGACTAATACTATTTCCCAACAAGTTGAGAACGTTGAAGCTCTTAAATCGCCTAGAAAGCGTAAAACTGATAAGAGTTTCCGATATGACTGTACTGAACCCTTATTTTCATGTATAATATCTATTTCAGTTCACTTAATGGATTTTTCAAGTAATATTGAGAAAAAATAAAATCCTTTGTAGGTGAAATATGCCACTGCCTCTGTAAATGGTAAACAAATAATAAGACAAAACGTTACATTGGAAATACATTTTAGGGTTTGCGTTTTCCACCCCTTACAACCATGGGGTAAACCAAATAAATTACTGACTAAGTGTCTTTTTGGTAGTACAAAACGTCAGGTCAATTTCAATATTGTAACTTTTTCAGTGCTTGTGAAAAAAATTGTTATACAAATACTAATCCATACAGTTTATTGTATGATTTTCACGATGAAGGTTTTATAAAAACCGCGACACGTGTTTCGCTATACAATAGGTTCTTCAAGCATAAACTGCTACAGTTTATTGTATGATTTTCATCTAGTACCGGCCAGTTCTATTCAATTAACTCGACTTATGGTATTGTTATCAATTTCGTGAGTAAAATGTATTAGACTTTCCTTTCTGTGATACACTTTACATAAAGTACCACATTTATAGATTGATCGTATCTTATAAAACGTCTAATTTGCGTCCGTTTGCCTACAAAGAAAATTTGGAAACTTGCACAGACCAGATGGTTTTAAAAATAAGGGATTCTATGGACATTGAAATGGCAGCAGACCACTTACTGGAAGCTGGTATATCCATACAAAATGAACATCGTCTCACAGCTTGCTGATTTCATGAAAAACTGTCGGATCAAAATACATTCACTGACTGTAAATATATTCAGAAATTACAAGCAATGAAAACTCTGATAGTTGTACTTAGGCACAAATAATCAATTCCATTTATGGACCCTAAACCAGCCACGGGGTGATGAAAATCTGTGGTATGGTACCAAATGACGAACTGGGCCAATAACAAACTAAAAGAACACTAGATGATCTGCTCAGAATAATTATAGGGTTATTTAGTGAATACTGTTTTTTCAAATGAGACTTGATGCAGTTTATAGAAAATTCGAATGATGCCCAGGAAAATGTGACAAATATTCAATCAAGGACATATATGAAACAACACTTTTTTGATAATTACCAAATTTTGATTTGGAAGAATATGATTTCTTCATAATATACTGAAGAGGTTCATGTCGTCCTTCGTTTTCCCGTAACAAAAATGTTAAAATGTCAGGTCCCGTAATTCATCAGTCCCGTCTAACATCATCCGATGTCGACTCCATGGCACCATTTAAATGTTTTTCTTTTGGGCGATTTACTGCAATCTATCTTGTTTGAAGGTGAAGTTGATTTATCACTAATTACTGATAAAATATCATGCAGACATATTGCAAATAACTGGAATTAATACAAATGTCAACGTGTTCACTATGTTATCTAAGACAAAGATCATCGTGCATGAAAATGATACCATATCAGTTCACTACAGAATCCGATCAGATCTCAACAATTAACCTTTGCTAGTTATTTCAAATACTGATTCTCTTGCGATAGTAACAAGAGTATTTCAAACGACTGATCTGATTGGATGATTTTTATAATTCATGTTAACAGAGTGGAAAGTTGTGGTAGAAATATGAGATGTCATTTGCTGAATCAATGAATAACAAAATTCATTCTCGACGCTTATTTCTGAAAAATACTGAGTATAACGTGTGGCCGAGATGTCAAATAGATTAGGTTTCCAACAAAGACGTTGAATCAAACGCAGTTCTTAAATTCACCGATGAGACCACCGCTTGAACGCTAGTTCCTAGGGTGGTTAATTGAAACTATTCTCTACCTTCAAGTTTGTAAACATACGACATTGGCTATCCTTGACAGGAAGCTAACATGGAACTCACATCTACAGAGTAGAGCAAAAAGAGTATACGTGGCTTATGAACAATGTCGGAGGACAGTGGGGCGCGCATGGGGTCTTTCACCCCGGGTGGTCACCTGAATCTACACTGCAATAATAAGACATATGTTAACGTACGGAGCTATTGCATGGGGACCGAAAGTTCTACAAGCAACGGCTATCCAAAAAATATATCAAATTCAGCGATTGGCTTGTTCAAACATCACAGGAGCCTTGGGAACAACACCAACCGCGGCAATGAAATTAATTACTGGTCTAACCCTTCTGAACCTGTACGTTAAGGAGGTTGCGTTAATAGCCATATTACGATTGCGCACGGCTGGTGTAAACCTCGAAGTAGGAATGGGTCAATTGAGGCTGAGCCTGTGGCGGGAAGCGCTTACTGTGCAACCTCTGCTGCAGGCAACAAGCGATGCATTTGAACCCAGGTTTGTGTTTAATAAACCCTAAAAAATACAAATAAAGCAGAACATAGAGTCAGATGATACAAATGCAATACGGATTTACACAGACGGCTCAGGGTGTAGAGTGTACTCCAGATCACTAAGCCTAAGAATTGAGTGGGAAATGGGAAGAAATACCAGCGTGGTCCAAACAGAACTGGCTGGTATCTCAATCGCCACAAGAGAATCAACCAAAGAAAGGAATTTCTGACAAAAACATGACAATCTGCACTGACAGCAGACAAGCCCTATTAGCCTTGAACAGAAAACGTATAACCTCAGGGCTAGTACTAGAGTGTCACCAAGATTTAGCCAAAGCCTCGGTAGATAATAACATCATCCTGAGGTGGGTTAAAGGGCACGACAGGAGTAGAGGTAATCGCATTGCCGATTTTTTAGCCAAACAAGCGACTGGACTAAGAATTTTGGGACCCAGTGGCACGTACGGCCTGATGACTTCAACAATTGCGGAACTAGTCAATGCTCAATCCAGGGTGACCCTGGGAAGCTGACACCGAAGAAATATTTGGCAATGCCCAGAAAAAATATACGCCTAACAGTAGGATTCCTGACTGGTCACTGTCAACTAAGGAAACACCTCCATAATATGCAGTATGTGTGAACAGGAAGATGAGACTGTCAGGCATGTCCTGTGCGAGTGCGCGGAGTTATCGTCAATAAGAGAGTGTGTTCGGCGAGTCTTGGCCTACACCTGCCGATATAAAGAAGATGTCTTCCAGTGACCTGTCCGCCTTCCTGGAAAGGACAGGATGGACGATGACCTAGGAGGACAACTCTTCGGGAGGATGTACAATGGGTCACATGTGGCCTAAGTACTGTCTGCTTACACTCACCCTCCCTATTCTACAGATACAGACGACATGGGCTGAGAAGTCTCGGGCCTAACGCATAGATAGCGTTACATTCAAAACTTTTTCAGTTAGAACTTCATTTCAAACGTGATTGTAGAGATACCGATGATGTAGAACGCAGTGGATATCCAAATGAGGTAGTGACACCAGAAAATATTGAAAAAAATCCAAAAAATCATTTTGAATGAGCATTTGACTATGAGTGGGAGCCGCGCGAGCTCACTGTTGACCAGAAACAATAACGTTTCAATCATTCTGGTCAGTGTTTGGCCATGTTTAAACATAACAAACCTGAATGTTTGCGTCGATATGAGAGTGGATGAAACATGGATCCATTACTTCACGAAATGAAAACGATCGTCATCTGAGTGAAGAACAACTGGTGAACCTCGTCCAAAGCACCCAAAAGAACAACAATCGGCTGAAAAGGTTATGTTGTCGGTATTTTGGGATATGCGTGTTGTAATAAATATCCGTCGACTATTTGAGAAGGGAAAAACCATCAACAGTGAATATTATTTATAGCGTTATTGGAGCGTTTGAAGGCTGAAATTGCGGACAAACGACCCCTTTTAAAGAAAACGAAAGTGCTGCTTTATCAAGACCATGCGCAGTGTCACAAATCAATGCCAGATTTCGCCCCCAGCGACTACTGGCTGCTCGCAGACCTATAAAAAATGCTCACCGGTAAGAAATTTCGTTTGAATGAAGAGGTTATTGCTGAAACTGAGGACTATTTTAACCCTCTCAACCATGATTTTTATTCCTTGTCAAAAAAAATTCTGGTCAGAATATTGCTCATGGTCACTAGAATAACTGTCTTGTGTAATTTAAATAGAACATCATCATAGATGTAGAAACTAGGAAGTCGTGGCACCATCAGGTTATACAACACAAAATTTCATACAATTGAAACGAAGTCGCAATTAACAAAACATTTATTTTACATGGAATTTTTTCAAACAATTTTTGAATTTACTCAAACAAAGTAGAATCTGGCATTTTTCACATTGAATTCTTGAACGTCCAGCACATGTCTCTAGTTTGCACCGTTGTTCATGTCCATCTTGGTGTTCCGTGTAATGTTCAATACTGTCATATCTTATGTCATCTGGAGGACCTATGTGTATTTTGTTATCTCTTTTTGGTACAAGAGAACTTCTAGGACTCGG